TGCTCCTAGTAGCGATGCCAGGAGCCCCTAATAGCTTCTTGCTCCTATGCAAATGGATTCCCAAACAATGAAATCATGCACAATGCTGGAAGTTCTTGCAAGTCCACTGCCTGGCGGAAGACTTGCTCGGGATGTTCCCTTGGAGTTACAGGTCGCCGAAGCCCAAATCCGTTTGCAGTTCAAAGACACAAGCCGGGAACCCAAAAGCAAGCCACGGGCGCATGTTTCTACAAACTGTGCTGTCAGACGTGCCGGGGAAGAGTTCAAAGACTGCAAAGCAGATGCGAAAAGAGACCAGGAAATGAAAATGGTCCGAGGTCCGCTAAAAGCACTTCTTTCGCTTCAGAAATTCCAGGGCTAGGTGGAAATCTCGCACAAAGTGTATGCGGTCACAGTATATATATATATAATGTAAGTGCAAAAACTGGCACGAAACTTATGATGCGCAGCCGTGGGCGCTCTAGCCTTTGGATTTCATATGAAACATTATTTACTGCGTTAAGATCTTCAGAATCACTAGTGCCCTGTGCAATTAGCGCCACTTGTGCCTACAGTCATGCAGCATCAACCGTGAGACTTGAACGCAGAGGTAGAATGAGCTGGCGCAAGGCATTGAAGCTGAACCTGTTGGCCAGACCAGCCGTGCAACTATCAGCTGGCTCAAGCCTTCTTGGGCCACTCAGCAATGTGAGGACGAGTCGGGAACATCAATCCTTTCATATCTGACCCCAGGCTGTCAAAACCTGTGTATGAGCGACCAACGGTCATCTTTGCATTGCGCTGTTGTCAAAATGTCGGAGCAACCGAAAGCTTGGGACGTCATTCCAAGTTCTTGGCAATACCCAAGCTCAAGCACATGCGCAGCACATTTCTATACCTGCACACCTGCTGCACAACACGGTTGCCAGACACCCGGTTCACTCCGGGCCACCTCCTGCCTGCTTCGCGAAGCTTTTGCCTGCCTGTTTGCTTAGAAAAATAAAGCGCTCAAAACCGACATGGCAACTTAAAAAGTCTGACCTTCGGTGACCTGTTGCACCGCAGAATGGATTGGTAAGCAATCATTCGCCCTCTTCGCCCCCACGCTCGCGCCGTACGTAGCGCCGTTTTAGAGAATAAGAAGCCCTGTAGCCTTCTCTTGGGAAACATGAAAAAAGAGCTGCCTCAGCGAAGAGAGGGTAAAGAGCCCTCATGTGCTCCGCGTCGTTGAGAGGGCCTGGGGAGCGATGTGGCAAGTCAGGACTCTGCATCGAAGCTCAATGGAGGCACTGCAGGCGCTCCGTGCTGTGATGCATAACAAATGCCTTGCTTGCTGAACAGGTGCATTTTTGATTTACCACGCAGGCTCAGAGCTGCTTCTTACCAAGCATGCAAAACAGGTTGGGGCGTCCTTATAGGCCGATCACACAGGCAAACATAGACAAGTAAGGAACAAGGCAGCGGCAAAAATAACACACAGGTAGACCAGTGGGGAGACAAGGCAGCGGTTGACCAAAACATAGAGAAGCAAGGAACCCTATCGCCTTCAGCTACTTGGGGAACAATGGCTGCTCGGCAAAGGCTATTGAATTGAATCCATGGCGGTTGGTTGGAATTAGGGTAGGGCCATTGCTAAGTTGCACCCGGAAAGAACACCGCTGTTGCCACAAACCTTGACAGCCCCCTCAGCATGTGCTGGGGCGTCACGCACTCCTTTCCTGAGGCTTCTGAAAGTCAAGCGCGCCAGAACAAGACACAGGAGCTGAAGAGCGTTTGTTGAAAGCAATCGTTGCTGCAGAAAGTTGCCTCCCATCCTACTATTTTGCTGCCCATGCCGGCGCACCTGCTTTGCTTTAGTGATAGACCATCTGATAGACATCCAGTGCGTTTCCATCTCCCTCCAAAAACCTGCTGTCGCAAGGTTTTTTGCCATCCACACTGAGAAAGTTACTAGGAATCGGTGTCCTCGTTCCCGGCTCCTTTCGAAAAACAAGGGACGCGTCTGATACGCCACCCTGCAACTGTATGCGCAATTCTAGTTTTGGTGCTCAAATGGCCGCACAGTTTCTATTCATATTTGCAATAGATGTTTCTTAGAAATGTCTTGGTGCATCAAATGTCATGTGTCTTCTCAAGGAAAATGTTTGTGTTGTGCGTCTCGCTACAGCGAAACGCGCATTTTTGCTGGGAGTGTGAAAACTGTTGTGAACAAGCTGTTCAACTGAAGTCCACAAGTTCAATTGGAACTGCAAGCATCAGTTTCCCCATCACACAGGTTGATTCACACCTTGTGCTTCCATTGCCAGGGGCCCATCTGTCTCTTCCCTGTGGCACCCCCAAGATCCACCCGATATAATGGTTGATCTGGGGCCCCCTGCTCTTGCACGAGTAGAAACTCAAGATCCTGATGGTTCCTTGTGAAACTTTCCACATGCTGGTGGGAACCTCCAGTGACCCAGCGGCCACGCATCTTTCTTTTTGTTTTCTTTGAAAAAACTATTGGCCACAGTGAGCAACTTCCATGAATTCAATCCGGCAAGTTGCTTCCATTCTGCAAACCCTGTCCAGGAGGACAAGACACACCAACCATTCGAACAACACTAAAACACAAACACGGTCGATTGGACCTTCATGGAGAAACATTGGACATACACCCTGTCAGCTGCGTGCGCATGAAAGCAAAACGAACGAAGACTGTCCTGCGAGGTCCACCTTCCCGTGTGAGGTATGTGCGTCTGAAAACAGACGGCATCAGGCGAGCCCTGTCCATGTGTGCGAAGTACGTATGTGTATATATATATATAACTCAACTTTACATTACATCCTCACCCACCCCAACCTCCCTACCCACCCGAACACCAAAAACCGACATACGTGACAGGCGCAAGGGCGGCGTATCAGCTGCAAGCCAAAAACAAACGAAACACAAAACAGCTGAGATGCCTTTAGGAAAAAGAGTGTTAAAGCAAATTAAGCTCTCCGAGCGGCTGTGTTGAGCAATGTAGATTTGGAAGCACCTCGCAAAGGGCTGAAGAACCATGTGTATTGACTCGGAGGAGAGTGTGAAGGCAGCGAAGAAGGGAATCACTTGCTGCTAAGGACAGCTCAGGCGGGAACAGTCACATCTACAACCCCAGGTTGCCCAGCATCATGCATGACAGCACTTGAAAGGTTTGCCGGTGGAAGTGTGGAACCTCCTGGGGTGGTCTGTGATGATTTTGCGTTTGTTGATTGTCCTATCCAACAATGCTGGTACGCTACAGTGTCAACAATAACTTGTTGATATTCCGCTGGCCTGGCTGACGACTCACGACTAAAATCATGCTGTCTCCCCATGGTCTGCGCCAAGGCGCCTATGTCGATCTCCACTTTGAGACCTACATCGTGCACGGTCTGGCCATTGGTGTTGGTCACGTGCAAATAGCCCGTGAATTGCTCACCAACCAGTGACTTCTGAAGGGCCTGGGCCATTGTCAGCCATGTTTCCCTCAAATGTTTCCCTCAGATTCTCTTGCTATCGAACGGAAGAATCTCTCGGCATCAAGGACGCCGCACATCGCCACACCACTATATAGTCACTGCATGTCTTCCTTCTTCCACAGACTAGAAAAACCGTCTAGAGCGACGATACGCGACGTATCGAAAGCTAAAAGCTGAACACTTGTTTCTGTCGCTATGAATTATGTCTTGTGTTGGAACTTGTGTTGACCCGGGTCCGCCCTTGAACCACCATGGGATATGTGTGATGTGCATAGATCACGTACCCTTCTAGTCGGGTGGCTTCTGTTGAGTTGGTAGGAACTGTATTCAAAGGCGTACCCAGATCACCACCGTTCACGAGCTGAGTTCACTCAGCGGGACCCTCACTTTGGAGGTGCACCTACGAATGCGTGTCCCTCTGAGGATCAGAAGGATTCGAAAGGGTGTGCGAGCGAACACCGGCCTGACATGGCCTCAAGCAGGGCTCTGCGGTCGCAGGATCCCTTCGTCATCCCATCAGCTCGCATATCGCGAGTGTCCACCCAAAGAAGTGCCGAAATGATGCCTGTGCTCTTAAGTTCTTTAATCCAATGGATATGGCCTAGGAGAGATTTTTCTGCCGGATACTTACCACTGGAATTTTTGATTGAGTGATATACACTTTTGGCATCGATCATGATTACAAGTTTAGTTTTAAAGCCACCTTCCTCCCTCATCCTCAGGAGTCGTTCTGGTCTCATGGGTCCATGGATGAGTTCTTCAAAAGTGACCAAATACAAGAATGCATGATCCGTGGCTCCAGTGAGAGCCAACAATTCAGCACTAAACGTAGAGCGCACCACCAGTCTTTGCGACTGAGTGGTTGCATCTATCAGGTGGAAGCGCTTCGAACCATCGTGAAGAATCCCTTCACGAAGCACGAGAGAACCTTTCATGCTGTAACCTTTGGTCGCATCACCTTCTTTCGTGAAGGATGCATCCGAGAACAACCACAAATCTCCTGTCGCTTTCATGGTTGGATAGACAAGTTTCTGTGGCCTTCGCTTCAATTCACGGGTCAAGCTGTTAAGCCGTTTTACATGAATCACTTGTGGAGCATGTGTCACACGTTGAAGTGCTACAATGTATACGGCCACCCAAGCTTGCGTAAGACTCGTGTAGGCTACAGCCCCTAGAAGGCTCCAGTATAGCGCCTGTAGTGTTGGTGGGCATTGGTCGGTCGGCTTCAGGTGTTGATAGTGCTTAGGATTAATCGGGATAAAAGCTGAAATATATTCATTTTGATCCATTGAAATCGTTCCGGAGTGGTCACGTTCATGATTAATGCCACAATTCATGAACTTGTTTTCGTTGACTGTGAGTTTTCCGAAATGCTTTTCAATCTCTTTCATGAACTTTTCAACTTCAACTGGCTCACCAGCAATTTTAAGATCATCTACGTGCTTAGACACTACCATCACTACTTCATCGTTCCTTATTATACTTCGAGGTGTGGGTCATACGAGCAGGGTTTCAAACCACAAATGCCTTGGGTTATCTGGGCTAGTCTTAGTGAAAATGCCTTAGGCGCGTCCCTACAACCAGTTCCAGGCTTGAGGCACATCAAACACTCCGTGCGCTCGTTGAAGTCTTCATAGCCTGGGATCTGCCTCAGGTGCCTAGCTGTCCCTGCCGGCACCGTGAAAGACAGATGCTTCTCTGGTTCACCTGTAAGCTGGTGAATCTCACTAAAGCTAGCACCCTGCAAGAATGCTTTGGACACATCCGCCGAAAGAAACCGCCAGTGCTTGTTGCACGCGGCAAGGCTCACAAGGGCCTTCTGAGATGCACGATGCGCAGTCCCTGAGTAGTTCTGTTCTTCAGGTCCGTGTGGTTCGCGAAAGCCTCGCAAAGCCATCCGCATTCTGATGCCACGGACTCCATCCACGAACTTCCACTTGGCCACAAAACGTGCATCGATCAAGACCTTGGCCTCCGATTTGGGAATTCTCTTAAAACATTTATACTTTTCCCAAGTTCGATATTCAGCAACTGTAGCGGCATCAATCATGTCCTTATATTGAGTCATTTCTTCGGGAGTTACAATGTCTGTTTCCCTACGAATGACAGTTCTTTTGATTTCCTCCGATGCAAATATCTGTACTTGAAAAGATTCTTTTGTACATTCAGTTTCAGTTTCTGCAAACCAGTTTGAAATCTCATGACTTACATACATTTCTACAAACGGCGCATTATCTTCTGTTTGTTCACATGTGTCAAAGTGCGAATGTTGCTCCACGTAAGTCAATGACTGTTCATTCCAATCTGCATGCTGATCAAACTTTTCAAATACAAATGCCTGCTGGTTTAGGAACTCTTCCTGAGGAAGATCAGTGTCTGTCTGGCACTGCATGTCGCGCACCAGAAACTCGCACAACTCTCTCAAGTCTGCTGCTTCTGTCGATGGTGCTTGAGAGAAGTGCTCAACAAACAAAGCCTCTGCCTCGGACGAGATCGATTCTTCGGGAATGGTGCTCAATCTGTCATTCGGTGCTTCACTGGATTGGTCCTCTTCTGGCGTGAAGACAGGTGGAGCAGTTTCTTCATCTATAATCAGCCCAGCATCCGCTTGCAGCTTGATGCACTGCATGGTTGCGTGATGCACTGCCTGCTCTCCAAAAAGTTTCGATACATTCAATTTCACATTGTCGGATTGGTGGACTATCATACTGTCTGGGCTTAAGGTGTTCCAATTAAAGATGATATTATTCTGCGGGCCTAACATCTTAGGGAGAAAATGAACACCTCTTCCAATGCGAACAGTGCAGACATGGTCTAACTGCAACGATTGGCGGACCAACAATTCTAAAGCACGAGAAACCTTTGGCCATCTCCTGGTTGCCTTTGACAAGATCTGTTCATCATGCGCGTTCATGATATAACCAAACGTTTCAACTCTGCCTGGATTCTGCTGTTCAAGCCAATCGTGGACGTAAGACAATGCTGCTGCTGATGCATTTGAACATGTGTGCCCCACTAAAGATACCGAACAAGCATGATATGCGTGACGCACATCTTGCAGTCTATATGGTCTGTTCTGGCCATGAATCTTAAGGATCACAACTCCATCAAGGCCTTTGCATTCTACCACTTCATAAGGTCCTGACCAACCTGTGGTATCTTTATTTGGTGGGGTTCGATACAATTCTACGAGATCTCCCGGAGAAAATCTCTCCATTCCTGTGAGTGATGTCTGGGAATTCAATGCACGTTGAACTCTGGCGGCACTGGTTGCCGAGATCATCGCCTGGAGCGCAATCTCTCGAGTTCTTGCTTCCTTTCGGAGTTCGATGCCTGGATCATCAGTGATGGGTGGAAGACAAGATGGTTGTCGGCCCATTACAACCTGATAAGGTGTGACACCTCCCACGTGAGTCATTGCATTCCCTGCAAAAACACATGATGCGAGCAATGTGCCGAAACTCAAGTCTATTCCTTCTCGAACTGCCTGGGCGTCCATCACGTGCATTGAGTGTCTCAATATGGCGCCTCTTCTTTCGATGTAACGAGCATGTTGATCTTTGCCACGAAGTTTGATGGTGATGCCTGCACGAGCCAGCCTTGCTTTCACGGCTTCCGTTGAGAGTCCTGATTCCATGTCCGATACCAATGTGGTCATTGGTCCGAACGTGTTCACCCAGCAAGTAAAAATATTTTCAAGCAATTGTTCTTCTGTTCTTGAGGGCGTCTGCATGGCTGTGTGCCACCTGCTGGCTCTGCATACGAAGTGATGAATTACAAATTCCTTGTAATACATGAGATCTGTTTCAACAACTTCATTAAAGTTCATGGCAATACTGATCGATGGCTTCGTGTCTCTTCCTTTTGCGGCCCAAATTCTGCATTCCTTACATGTGTTAATTATATCTGGAATATAGCTGATCACATCATCTCCAAGACCTGCTTGCCTAAGGATCTGCTGCATGTTCGAAAGACCGGCGTGCCACCATCGCAAGTGCAATTTGCGTAGTGTTCGAATGATGGTGGGCTCATGGTTGGATCGAAGGGATCTTAAGTTATGTCCTATTTCAAAGCGTGTCCAATCCGAAGGATGCTCACCTACAGCTGCATCCTCGCGAGCAACTACTCTTCTCTCGGCACGCTCACCCTCAATCCTGGGCTCTCGATCTGATGCACTGCCTCGGACTTCTGAGGCACTTCCTCGAGCCTCTGCCGGTGGTTCCGGCACCAAGTCACTGCCATCTGGCAATTGAGCTTGCGACTCCTGTGCAGGAAGCTCTGAAGCTCTGCTGGACGGCTCCCTTGGATGTCGGCCTCGACGAGCTGTGCCTCGACGATGTGAGATCACGGTGTGTTTGCAACTGCCGGCTTCATATGTGTGACTATCATGTCCTGCAGGTCTATCCGCCTTACAACCTGGACATGACCATTCTACAGTGTCCTCTAGTGGCCACTTACAAGTCTCTGGATCACTAGTGTGTCGACGATCTGTTTTCCTCAGGTGGCCACGGCATCCGGGACAGGTATACCTAGATGGTTCGGCGGGTTCTGCGACTGGGTCTGACGTGTCGACGGCTACTGCGGGGTAACTACTTTGAGTGCTAAGATGCAATTTTAATTGAACAACTCCATCTACTATGGACTCGGCAAGTTTCCACGGCCATACTTCACAATGCTTTGCTCGTCCTGCCTCAAGAAGCTCATGTTGATGATTTCCTGGACATATGAAATGCACCAAAGGTTCCAAGAGGATACGAGAGTTGCTTACGAAGGCAGTGGGCTTCTTGGCCGGAGCCCCGGATGGACTTGTCTGTCCTGCGGCGCACTGATGGATAATTATCCTAACAGTATTCGGGTTACGAAACACTTCTCGCCACTCAACTTCATCCCAAAGCTTACTTGGGTGTGGTTGTTCAACCAAGAAGTATCGACCCTGTGCATCTTGCAACTGCGCTACTCTACCACAGAAGCGGCCGTGCGGC